TTTCCCAAACTGATGCTAAGTTAAATGCACTGGTGCAACACAACACTTAGATATAAGAAGGAATAATGGATATGGCAATGTCGCGTGGGGGGACAAACCGGCTACTCTGGGCGCATGTTCGTGCGTGCTGACTAGGTCCAATCGGCTGATAACTTGCTACTAACACAACAGTCGTTCATTCGTTGTAATGGTGAACATGACAGAATTAAATATCAATTGTAATTCACAATAGACAATAATCAGTGAACGCCTCTTCGAGCCTGTTATAGCGTCTAACCAAGTGATAGAAGCTCAGTCAATTTACTGTTGAGCTGTTGCCGCTGTTAGAGCCTTGTGATTTGGAGTTAGAGGACTTCCCAGGAACACGACGCGCGCAGGAGGCATAGGGAAGACGGGACGAAGAGACAATAAGGTTAAACCAACGGGGGATCAATGAACTAGTGCATTCAGCACGCATGCGCATAGCGTTCCTGCGTGAAACTATATCGCCGCTGGAGAGCATCTCCCTACTATGAGACTATAATAAAGAGAGCCGTTGACAACGCTCACTTTGCAGGCAGGGGGGAGGGGGAGCTTCCAAGGGTCTGCTGGCATCTAAATATGACTAAGCGGGAAGGCTCTGTTCGCCGACACCACCGTAGGCGTTGCTCTCCTTCCCACATGCACTGCCCTGAGGCCTCCCTAAATCCACACAAGGCCATAGAGGCCTTGTAACGTCCGATCACCGTATCCACGCCGAAGCCTCAGAGCGTCCTCCAAGTTCCGCGTACGGTTCCCACCATACTAGACTTGAGACAGTCATCGTTGTAGTGGCCCTCGAGATGAGATCCTTCAAGCACCAAACTGGTCTGCATAAGGCAGTAAGCACGGAGCCACCAAAACAGAATCCTCTCAAGCGATATCGCGTTTAGAAAACCGCCGTCGCTGTCTTCCACGCGAAATAGTAGTGCTGGGCTGGACGAAGACGTTATTGGAAACGCCGTGGTCGCAGTATCGTTTCCAAGTGGCAGTCATAGATTCAAACCTTCCTGAAGCGGAGCATATGCGGTATACTGATGATCGACGTAACTGATGATTCGTAGAAGTCAAGTTGATTTAGTCATGTTCTCTCTAGTTACGGTGGTCAACATTAGTCGCTTTCGGGTTTGCTCATAGTTGACTTAGTCAACAAACCCGAAAGCCGCTGTAACAATAGCAATGCCCTTTAAACTCAAACCAGTCGCTGAAGACAACTCTGCATGCTTGTTATGAACCACTACACGCTGCGTCTCACAAGAAGCTTCCTCGGACATGTCGCGGCCACATTATCGTACAAAGAGGCTCTTCATTCACCTTCCTATACCCTCCTCCTCTCCACTGAGGAGGAGGGAACACCAGCGGCCTCAACACACCATTCGAGGCCAGGCATTCATCAGTAGGAGGAGAGTCCGTCGATGCTTTTCCAACCTCATCGTTGATCTTCTCAAATCGTGGTCGGCGTTCATACCAAATTCCATCCTCATTCTCCGCATCTTCCATGGGTGGTAGCGGCACAGAGGGAACCTCTACCATGGTCGTCGTTGAGGGCGGCAGCATCGGAGGGTAGTAGTAATACCCCAAAGGCGTTGTTGCCCAGGCCTGCTGCCTACGACGGTTCATATCAAAATACCACTCGTTGCTCATCAACCACGTCAGCGACTTCAAGCGAGCCTTCTGGCCAAGCAAAGCCAACATCGTTCGATATCCGCAGTCCTGTTGGGTGATAGGAATTCTGCTGATCTCAGCGGCGAACGATGCGGAGCCTCGACTAACGAACCGACACAAACCATAAGTCGTCACCCTTCCACAGCTCAAATACGATCGGACGACAACTTGACTAACATCGCCGAATTTCGCCATGATTTCGATCAGCTTTTCTCGAGACAAATTAACTGGGACGTTCAGCGCAACTACGGTCCGACTCGCATCTGCACCCCAACATACCGGTAAAGCATCGATGAAAAACGTATCTCTCCTCCCCTCCGTCACTTTCATCGACCCATGGTCCCCAACAAGCCCTGGGAACTCATACAGTGCCTGCTGCAGGGCGCGCGCTTTTTGCATTGACGCACAGTGTACCAGCGCCACCGAAGTGTGCTCATCCGTGATAACATCACAGGATCGATACGGTGACAGCGGTCCCATATGAAGACCATAGTCCAGGAAGAAACGCATGAGTTTCTCTGCTGTGTAAATAGGAGGGACATTGTACCACGACAACGTTGCTGGTGGGTCCGGGATGGCCAAGAGGCCGACCTCATCCACCCTAGGAGAAGAACTCCCCATCGAGGAGTCGTCCTCCACTGCCGTTGTCGTTTCCTCACCACCACTCGAGTCAAGGACCGTCGTATTAGATTCCTTCCCTGCCCCCGAGGCATCGGACTCTGTCACCTCCTCCTCTTCCTCCTCTTTGTGTGCCTCAAACGAGATAGGACCACCAAATGACCTCAATATTCTCATGCACTTCCGGTTGCCATCCGACGCGAGTTTACTGCTCCTCAGGGCCGACCTAGCCGCCCCCACCGTCGCAAATGTGCACACAACTTGCCTAAAATAGTGCCCATCGCGCGCGCCCAGTCGACATCGCGTTATCGGACCATAATAACGTTTCAAGAACTTCTGCAGTCGAGCGTAAGTGCAATTCGAGGGTAAACCCTTTATGATCACCACAGCTTCCGAGGCGGGCGTTTTACCCCATATTTCCGGCAAACCGTCGGTCCTCTCAGGAGACCATTCAAGACGACTCTTAGTCGCCGACTCCTTCCACGTGTAACCGTTAAAAATTTTCTTGAATTTTTCCGCAAACTCGTGGGTTTCAAATCTTATTATAGCAGACCCATTCCGAGAGACCCTGTCGAATGGCCAGTTAATCGAGCGAACATTTCCGCCGTAGTCAAATCCATGACCCCGCATCAAGTCAATCAACGCCGCCATCGTCACCGACTGCGGTATGTCCTCCCATCGGACAGATCGACAACGGGCTGAGATCTCTTGCTGCATTCACAGATTAACACCCCTGAAAAGACATCATCACCGCATCATTGACACACTTAAGTCAACCATGAGTAATATGAAAACTAATGATACCCTATTAGGAGGAAAGCACAACGAGGCCTGTCTCATGCAGACCAGAATAGAATACTATTTACAACGACAGTGGGGGGGAGGGGCAATTTTCCCCTTTTTCTATCAGTTTTCTCACCGTCCCGCATCAGCACTGACATCAACACCGAGGAGCAGCGAACTCAAGGCGAAGATGAGGAAGAGGACTCCACCGGCGACGGCGACTTGCCTTTGTGATATTTTACTCGCCAATAATCGTCCTCCCACAACGGCAATGCCCGTGCCTGAGGAGGGGGAGGGGCATCAGAAAACTATGAGGAAATTTTCGACGGTTCCATCAGCAATGATAACATCATAAACACATATTCCGATGGGGAATCCCGTCAATGTTCATGCTCCACCTCAGACAGTGCCGTTATCTGGATTTTCGCTTATCCCGAGACCGTGGACAAACCGCTAAAATTCTGGGCCCTTATTCTGGGAGTAATCTCGTGGCTACTAAGAAATGAACGCCTCCGGCAACCCAACGAACCCAGACTCCGAAGCTGATGCCCAAATGTGTACGGCACTGACCTTAGATATGCCAAACGCACACGTAAGATGCACGCATGTACAAAATCTCCACAGTGCGTAACATCAACAATGAATATTTTTTCAAAGAACTCGCTCTAGTTGCACAAAACCCTCACCGCGCCCCGAAATTGCCCTTACATATGCAATGTCCCAATACGCAGCCCAGCACGACCCCATAGGGGCTTTTAGAAGAAGCCAAGGCAATTGTGGCCACTTGGCTTCGGTCACCCCACTCCGCCAAAAACGACATTACGAACGACTAAACAGATAATATCTTTAGGTTGAGCGTGGAAGATACAAAAGAGGACCTGCACAAGAACAGCTCTGTTCTCTGCCGAGTACCATGGTGATGCTGTAGTATTGTCAGCCTGAAGGGGAAAAATACCCCCACCAGAGATCGAACCGGAGACCTTTACATTGCTAGACGTTGACGCTTCCCCCGCTTCTATTTCAGCTTGTTGCTGCTCGGCCACGTTCTTCTCCTGTTCTTCATTCTTCTTCCTGCTACAACAATAAAGAATCAATGTCCCTTTCAAATACCATAATTATATCGGGCGAGCGAGATTCTCCCTCACTTCATGGTCATCTCCACTTCGGCCAACTCCCCCGACGTTCCATCGCTCAGCTCATACGCATCCTTCAACAAACGGAGGCCTGGAAAACGACAATGGGCGGAAACACTTGACGACAGTACTCACCAAAATAGACAAATAACACAATACACGAATAATGAGTAACTTTTTTGCTCAGCAGTGCTGGCAGGAGCAGACCGAGACCAGCTGAAAGGACCTGTCAGAAACCAAATCGACATTTACAAAAGCAATACGGGAGACGGAATTCCAAAAGGGAATCTTTCCCCGCGGTGGAGCACTCTGCTTCCAAATTGATGTGGACTTTGTTGGAGGGCGAGCGATGGTCATTCACCGTGATGATCTGCAGTTGCGTTTGATTACACGGTTATACAATTTTATTACGAGTTATTATTAATGGAGTTTCACCACCCTAGTGATATGAAAAACACTAGTGAAAAACATATTTTACGACTACTACAGGCCGCGAATATCGAGTTTTTCACCGAGTTTTACGACGCCACTTCACGTAAAACGGGTTGTGAAACTCCATTATTATTTTGCACCAATCGGCTCATTTGATAGAAGCGTTAGAGCAGAATGAATTCTTCCAGAACCCCATCATCCCGGGACTTCATATCGATCACACGATCGATTATGCATTCCTTACCACATCCTCAGCGAACCACAGCAATAATTCTCCCCAAAAAGGCGGAGCGAAGCACCTTCCCCTCCTCTTACCGTCATCGTAAACATAGCCATCATCGCTCCCATTAAGATCACCACCGGGCTGTGACGCATCGACAATATTGCCGCTATAAAGAAGGTCTTGTCGCCCAGCTCCGCACATATTATCATCAAAAACGACGACAGCAATCCTCCCACGAAGGAGTTCCCACCGACACCACCACTCGCCCATAGTCCAGACGCGATCGCTGCCGAACCTACTCTTATCAATAGAGTCTCACCCGTTTTACGTGAAGTGTGAAAAACGGGATATTCGCGGTGATATGCAGTAGTCGTGAAATACATTTCTCACTAGTGTTTCAAGAGATGTTAGGATTCCACTTAATAATCAAAATCCGAAATTATGATGAATTTTATTTAAAAAATGCATACCAAATTTCGAGTAATTCCCAACGATGTAGCAAAACGATCGATTTCCGCTCCGTCTACCGCAACATCACCAACTCCTTTTCAAAAGGTGCTCCCAAACTCATAGGACCCATTTTCATAAGTCAATCTTAGAGACTCCAACCAGCCGTGTCCCTCCATTACCTCCATCTTCGCTTGCAAGACTTCTCCGCTCGCCCTCCGCAGCGCCCTCTACTTCTACTAGTAAACTTAACATTACGAACATCAACCCCGGAGTAAACCGACGAATGGCGCGGGAAGGTCGACGCAAAAGAGAATTCAACATTATATAAAGCTGATAAACTACAACGCTTACTACACGAAAAATCGGCAAAATTTGGGCCTTTTCCGTATCCAACATAGAACGACCTAAGATTCCCCGAACCCAACAGTACGATTCTCTGAATTGAATCCTTCATTAGCATAAGAAGAAGAAGCAGTAGTAGTAACCATCACCACTACTACTACTACTACTACTACTACTACTACTACGATTGAATATGATTCCTTCTACCCCCCACAATTCCCGTCCTGCCATGCTCCCTCAACAGACGCTCTCTAGTCGCTTGCTGTTTCGAGTGGAAACTCCGACTTTCCCTACCATAAAAATTCCACACGATAAACCCTCAAGCCATCCATCGCAACTCGATAAAGAGAATCC